AAAATTATCATACATACATAAAGGAATGACAAAATGGCGGCACTGACTGCCTCATCTTTAATCTGCAAATGTTCCACACAAAGTTACTCCAAGTGCTGTCATATTTAGCAGGAACACAGGTATAATTATGGAGAACAGCTACTGAAGTGCGCAAATTGATGAGACTTATTCTGAAGAAAGATATAGCCTAGTAAATGGAAATGTCCATTCCTGCCCTGTATAAAGTCAACCAGTAGTATACGGAGATAATTGCTCAGTATACTAATCCGCGACCACTCATTAGGGCTGGGCGATATTGAAAATTTTAAAACGATACGATAATATCGATATTTTCATGAATATCGTTTGATATCGATACTAGATTTCGATATTTTCATGACCACGCCCAATAAGTTTCAAGTACCATTTCCAAGAAAAACTATGATTTAGAAAAGCATTATTACTCTCATTTAACCTGTTTTGACTTAGTCTTCATCTGTTACTTCCTCTGTTTTGCAAAAAAGAAGTGTTTGGAGCGGTTTGGAGATACTTCATTACTTATCGACTGTGGTTAATTAACTATTATTAAGGTTATACAATCATTTTGTGGGCGTGGTCACGGTATCGATATTTCTTTTCAATTTTTTTCGATATCAATACGTATCGATACCGCATTATATCGATAAAATATCGTTAATTTTGATATATCGCCCACCCCTACCACTCATTGCTGGACATGACAATCACAGCAATACACGACAGCTGCATCACTGGAATCATCAACACTACACTCATCACACAATACTGCTTCCTTGTTGGTGATCTTCTTTTTTATCGAAGCCTCTTTTGATTTATGTTCAAACCAAAGGTTTTGAGTGAGGCCTTCAATTTTACCATCAGGTAAGTTAACACTAGTGTCACATGTTGGACACTTTAATGAGGTATCAGCACTACCTTGCTTCTCTTTAGCTTTTATGAGACACTTCTTACAGAATGAGTGAAGACAGGGAAGCATGAGGGGGTCAGTGTAATACTCTGAACAAACCTCACAAGTCATAGTGATAGCTGGACTTGTGTTTTCTGCCATTTCCTATGAAGAAAATTAATCATCACAATACCACTGACTGAAGCATGTTACTTTTAAGAAGTGTTCTTAGTCAAAAAGCAAGAGAAAAGGTGAAAATGAAGTGTAACGATAAACAAAAGAATTGAAAAAGAGAGCATGCATGGAACCCCACCTTATAAAAGTGGGTTGTTACTTGATCCCGTAGGTCCGCCCACAAGTCACGCACAGCGTTCAATTAATGGTGCGGAATAGGCGAGAATAGGTGATGCTGTTTTTAAGTAGTCTGGGCCCCAGCCCCTTCGCTTTGAGCAAAGGGCTGCTACCCAGACTAGGTTTTAAGGCCTCAGTGGAATCACTTTATACTACAAAAGTCAAGGAGATCAACTATGATGGAGAAGAGATGTATGAAGGGTAACAGTCATTTATTATAATAATACACAATGTAATTTATGGAGTAGATGTACCAATATTAATTTATTGCAAATTTGAGCTGGAAATTTTAAATTAAATTAATAGACCACTGGAAGTGAAAATTGTTTGCATAGGAAGATTATTAGTAGTGATGGGCGATATATCGAATCAACCGATATTTTTATCGATAATCGGCAATATCGATAAATATCGTTATCGAAATTTTGAAGCTCAGATTTTGATATGATAACCACACCCACATAACCAGAATAATAGTTATATAAACAGTGGTTAATTAGGTCAATTTAATTTTAAAACAACCTTGTAAGCAGCTATACGAAGGCAGGATGGTTGCTGTCTGTCAGAAGAACCTGGATCAAGCCAAAATATGAAGATATGAGGCCATTTTTGAACAAAAAACTAATGATAGTTTGAGTAATCGCTTTTTATCATAGTTTATTAACTATTATTGTAGTTTATTAACTATTACTGGGTGTGGTCAATATCGTATCGAAAAATATCGATAATCACTAAAATTTGTCCAATATCGATAATTATCATATCGATTCAAAATTTTCAATATCGCCCATCACTAATTATTAGAAATTTTTACGGTTGTAAGGTGTGGTTTACAATGAAATAAATTCTGGCCGCCATTTTGGTTGGCAACTTTCAATGGAGAACAAACGGACCGACATAAAAACAAATCTGTATTAAGAATTCTGGAACAAATAAAGGCAGCTGTTCTTTTTATAACAAGCACTTTTTAGCTATTGATAGAGCTACAGCAGGTAAATGAGGCATTTTCTTCGTGCCTCCATTGACTTCCATAACAAACTTGCCAACCAAAATGGCAGCCAATTATGATGTGTGGGCGGATAGCGTATATAAAATTAATGAAATTCATATCTTTTCCAATTCTCAGTTCCAGTAGTCTATAACATTAAAAATAGGTACTTGTGTAACATCCAAATGATGCAGTTATTATATGTACACATGTAGAATTGTATTAATTGTAGTTTGCCATTACTTGCATGTAAATATATTATGTATTTATTTGTAGGAGACTTTCTCTCTCTCAGAAACTAAGTGAATTAGCTCAACATGTTGACTTTAGAGAAGAGAGAGCTGATGATGATAATGACAGAGAAGAAGGAAAGAAGAAACAAGAGGAGGAGGAGGAGGGAGTTTCTGGTCCTAAAACTAAGAAACCAAGTCATCACTGGCCATAGGAATTCACACACTCAAAACTCAAGTACATAAATACATGTATTTGACAAATACATGTGTATTGCATACATAAAGGATAGCTAAACTTTATTATTAGTTTTGTCAGGTAAGCATTGACTGAAGTTAGTGTACTGTCTGATGTGTTACAAATTGTTCATAATCATCATCAATACTTGTCACTGGATCCAGTTTATGTTAATAAGAAATACACATTACCTCCTTCATATCGATACCAAATTAAAAAGAAGGTTAGCCTCATGATTTGTTACTTTACTCAGTTATGCATGCACAATACATGTACCTCAATATAGAAGATTATAAAGGCATAGTATTGGCCATAGTGCGAATGTACTATTTCTTTACCTGTATTGTGTTTAATATAATTAGGTGCACAGATCAATAGCAGTTCTCTTAGTGAGCTTTGTCCCTATTAGATTGATAGTTAATGAATATGTATTCATTGTGTATGTACATGTACATTTAATATTATCATGAGTTTTTCTGTAGGTACTTGATGTAGGTTCCAAGATATTAAGAAAAGGAGCTGAGCCACTCAAGAGATTATCCAGTCAAACTGATCACAAGTTTTACAGAGCATTATATGATTTAAGAAGAAGATGGATACTACGTAGAACAGCTAATGGAGTCAGTGGAGACCTCAGCTATAGATCAGGTAACTTAATTGGAATGAAGTATAAGACACACACAGTATAACGGTGTTGGGTACTATAGTATTAAGCAACTTTAAAAATTTGTAAAAAATCTATCTTTTATTGCAATCAGATCAAACTTGCTACACAACTTGAGAACATGTATATACATCAGGAAAAATTATAAAAATGGAGAATTATTAGTTTTTCATTTTTGGCAAAAATCGGCTCATGACACTGTACTATAGTACAGGGATTTTTACCTAATTTTGGAGCTACTTTAAAAATTTGTAAAAAATCCAAATTTGACTAAAATTAGCTTAAACTTTCTACACAACATAAAAATGTCGATATACATTAGGAACTTTTTTTTAAGGATAAAATTCCCACCTTTTTATTTTTGGCAAAAATTTGTGCAAAGACCCTATACAGGGACTTTGGCCAGAATTTGAGTAACTTGTGTAAAATCCGATTTTTTTAAGGATTAGCTCAAACTTGCTACACAACATGAGAACATGTATATGTATCAGAAAATCATTATTGTTATTTATTGCAGCTGGTTCACTGTATGCTCAGTCAGTTCAGTTTGAGGTTCATTAAGGAATTGAAGGTACTAACTATATACTGTCAGTAGTGGTACCTCAAGAATTAAGAGGAAGGAGTGAAGTAGTTATATTCCTAGCAGACAGACCTATTAAAGGTAATGGTATGTCACATGACTATCACATGATTGTACATGTCATCTATGTGTACATGTTCATGTGGTTTTTGTTCCAGAGGTTGTTTCTCTTGATTCTTTGTTGCCGTCTTGTTTTATTGAGCTTCATAAGCAACAGTTGGTGTTAACTCCATGGGAGCAGATACTTAAATCAGTTCAAAACGTGTTCTTCAATGAAGAACTGTTTGCACAGGTATAATACTGCACTATAATAATTAATGTATTTGTATTATTTTGGTTTAGATTGTACAATCATTTGTGATCAGGAACTTGTATTATATAATGTGAAACTGCACAAGAGGAAAGGTTAGAGAGAGATGTAACGAGATTACTAGAATATACAAAGTTTTACTAGGTCATGATTAGTGGGTGGGTCATTGAACCTTATCGCTATAAAGAAAAACTACTCACACAAGTCAAGTATCTTGTACAGGTAGGTGTGGTTGTGGGTGGAGTCAAACATGACGTACATTGAATAGGTTGATATGGGAGGAGTACCAGCAACACTGGTTAATATTGTGTCAAGACGTCAGCCATTAGCAGTTGCATATTTACGTCATTATTTTAGAAACAACTAGTTTAAATTCAAATAGAAATGGAAGAGAGAGCAGACCCAGTTTATTATCAGGTACTGATTCACCTAGTGATCTAACTATGATCATTATGTATAATGTATTATAGAGTTATTTGCATATACTAATAGTATAATGATAATAATGGCATTTTGAAGTTTTTTTCTACACTTTTATTTGCATAACAATAATAACTATTATTCAGCTTGTTGACAACGAGAGAGATAGTATTTTAAAGAGAGAGAGAAAATAGTAATTTTTAATGAAAATAATAGTAAAATTTAACTAAATTCATTTTTCTAAGAAGGTATGAGAGACTGTTAAGTATTAAGTATGCGACTAATTACGTTAAAAGATAATACATTATTATTACTTTTTAGTATTTCATTATTCGGTTATTGTTAGTGTCTGCAATATAAATGTGCCCATACTTATCTAAAGTGATATCCGATGGGTCTAATAATCTGCTGAATGAATGAACTTTATTTCTTTCTGGATTCAGGACACAGGAGGTATCAGAATTTCCTGTAATAAATATGTATCCATCATCGTCGAATGCAATGCCTTGAGGGAAGTGAAGTTTATTATTGTTACCAGAATATGTATCAAGATGAGTTTTACCATCAGGAGAGAAGACTTGAACATGATTTTGGTGACAAATGGTAACGTGTATCTTTCCTTCATTATCAACTGCTACATCAGATGCAGTACCATCACATTGTATGACTTGTACAAATGTACCATCTTCTTTAAAAACTTGTACTCTTTTGTTGTTGCCATCAGCTACTAATATATTACCTTTCCCATCAGTAGACATACCACGAGGACTAGAGAATTGTCCATTTCCATTACCTTTACTACCAAACTGACCAATATACTGACCAGTAGTAGCTGAGAAATATTGCACACGATTAAGATCATAATCAGACACATAGAGCTTGTTTTCTACCAGCAATAAACCCCAAGGTTTGTCAAACTGTCCATTACCATTACCTTTAGATCCAATCCTTCTTACTGCAGTACCATCCTCACTAAATACCTGAACAAACCCATCAATACTACTAGCAAATACATCACCACTAGTATGAACAGAAACACCACGAGTAAGATTCCCCACATTAAAAGATTTTTGGTTAGTTAGTGTAGTATAGTCTCTTGATGCTTTTACTGACAGTGGACTACCATTAATATGGTGACCTCTTATAGTCACTGATAGTTCATATCCACCAATACTTTGAGGT